CAGAGACACGGGGATAGAGACATAGACACAGAGACACGGGGATAGAGACAGGGAGACGGGGATAGAGACAGAGAGACAGAGACACGGGGATAGAGACAGAGAGACAGAGAGACAGAGACACGGGGATAGAGACAGAGAGACAGAGACACGGGGATAGAGACAGGGAGACGGGGATAGAGACAGAGAGACAGAGAGACGGGGATAGAGACAGAGAGACAGAGAGACGGGGATAGAGACAGAGAGAGAGACAGAGAGACGGGGATAGAGACAGAGAGACAGAGAGACGGGGATAGAGACAGATAGACAGAGACACGGGGACACGGGGATAGAGACAGAGAGACGGGGATAGAGACAGAGAGACACAGACACGGGGATAGAGACAGAGAGACAGAGACACGGGGATAGAGACAGAGAGAGAGACAGAGAGACAGAGACACGGGGACACGGGGATAGAGACAGTGACAGAGAGACACAGACACGGGGATAGAGACAGATAGACAAAGACACGGGGACACGGGGACACGGGGATAGAGACAGAGATTTAGAGACACTGGGGTAGAGACAGAGACACTGGGATAGAGACAGAGAGACAAATAGACGGGGATAGAGACAGAGAGACAGAGAGACGGGGATAGAGACAGAGAGACAGAGACACGGGGATAGAGACAGAGAGAGACAGAGAGAGAGAGACGGGGATAGAGACAGAGAGAGAGACAGAGACACGGGGATAGAGACAGATAGATAGGGAGACAGAGAGACGGGGATAGAGACAGAGACACGGGGATAGAGACGCAGACAGAGAGAATGACAGGTACAGTGAGAGACACACAGTTGTTGAGCCAAGGCCCACACCACCAAGCGGCCAGCAACAAACAGCACCGTCACAGTTGTAATGGGTAGGAGTGTGACGCGTTTCTCAAATTGTGCTAAGTTGTTGTTGTTCTAAGAGCTTGGGGGGAAGAGAGACCATGGAGATGATGATCATGGGAGGAGAGAAGATGCAGAGAGAGAGAGATTGGGTGGTGAGTGTGTGGGTGATCAAGTGGGTGGGTGAGTGGGTGGGTGCGTGGTTGGGTGATCGAGTGGGTGGATAAGTGGTTGGGTGAGTGAGTGGGTGGGTGAGTGAGTGGGTGGGTGAGTGGTTGGGTGATCGAGTGGGTGGGTGAATGGGTGAGTGTTTGGGTGAGTGAGCGGTTGCGTGGTTGGGTGATCGAGTGGGTGGGTGAGTGGTGGTTGGTTGAGTGAGTGGGTGGGTGAGTGTTTGGGTGAGTGGGTGAGTGGTTGGTTGAGTGAGTAAGTGGGTGAGTGTTTGGGTGAGTGAGTGGGCGAGTGGTTGGGTGATCGAGTGGTTGGGTGAGTGAGTGGGTGGGTGAGTGGTTGGGTGATCGAGTGGGTGGGTGAGTGAGTGGTTTGGTGATCGAGTGGGTGAGTGGGTGGGTGAGTGGTTGGGTGATCGCGTGGGTGGGTAAGTGTTTGCGTGAGTGAGTGGGTGAGTGGTTGGGTGATCGAGTGATTGGGTGGGTGAGTGAGTGTTTGCGTGAGTGGGTGAGTGTTTGGGTGAGTGTTTGCGTGAGTGAGTGGGTGAGTGGTTGGGTGATCGAGTGATTGGGTGGGTGAGTGGTTGGGTGAGTGGGTGGGTGAGTGGTTGGGTGATCGAGTGATTGGGTGGGTGAGTGAGTGTTTGCGTGAGTGAGTGGGTGAGTGTTTGGGTGAGTGTTATTGCGTGAGTGAGTGGGTGAGTGGTTGGGTGATCGAGTGATTGGGTGGGTGAGTGGTTGGGTGGGTGAGTGAGTGGGTGGGTGAGTGGTTTGCTGATCGAGTGGGTGAGTGGTTGTGTCTGGCGTGCGGATGAATCGACGAGTGAAGTTCACGGGAACAGTAACCGTGGCAATCGCGACAGACGAGTGATAAGAAGGCGACTGACCATCCGGGATTTGAACTCGCGACATTCCGAGCCCGCAGTGCCCCGGGGTCACTCGCTGCGAATGACCCCTCCCCTCTCGCCTCTCTGGGCATCTCGCCCGTGCGGTTCAAACAAGACACGCGTGACCCCCTCCCCTCCCCCCTCCCTATTTTAATTTAAATTCCACGGATTGGATGTACTTGACCGAGGGCCGTGCCCAGGTACGTCGACATTCCTCTTCCCGTAACCGAGGCTCACGACCAGAGCAGTGACGGACCGCCTCTTGTTTTGCGAGCCGAGCGGGCGAGCGGGCACGGTGGTGATTCATGGGATATTGGACAAACCGAATGCCGGAGCGTGTGGGATGCGTCCTCTCTGTTTTCCGTCACGAATCGCATCGCCCCCCCCCCCCACCACACCCCCCACCACCACTCCCCCCCACCACACCCCCCCCCCCCCCCCACTACCACCACCACCCAACTTCGCTCCGCGTACCCTCGCGATTCCTCTGCGGTGGTACCAGCGACGTCAGAGGTTCTGCCCCCTCCCCCCCACCCCTGGCCACAGCCGAAGCCGCGACAAAGCTGGTGGGGTGACCGGGCGCGTCGCGCTACGAACCCGGCGGGCCGGGTTCGACTCCCGCTCGCGTTACAAAAAAGCAGCGGCGATTATTGTCTGAACCTGTGCTGGGCCCCCGCCCGCCCTGCCCCCCCCGCCCCTAAGTCGACTCAGCCTCGAGTGAGTAGCTGGCGTGGTGTGTGAACGTCGTCACTGGGGAGTCGAAGACGGTGCGGGTGTGATGCTGGCCACTCGCGCCCTGGTGTGCCGTTCGCGCCCTTCATAGGCGCCACTCGCTAGCAGCCCCTGCGTTCTGTGAAGGCGACAGGGTGGGATAAAGTGTGGCTGCTAGCGCCTTCTTCCAAGACGTACCGGTCAGCTTTGTGGTAGAGTGGGCCTCCCACCCTGTCGAGAGGAACTCTCTCTCTCTCGAGAGAGAGAGAGAGCGAGAGAGAGAGCGAGAGAGCGAGAGAGAGCGGAGACCACACTTCTGGCAGCAGTTTGCTCGAGAGAGCACTTGGGGGCCTCCGCCTTTACCTTTGCCTTCCCAGTTAAAAAACCAAAACGCAGCTCGTAGGAGGCAGGTATGAAGGTCGGGGGATGGTGCGGAGGGCCGCCTCTGGCCTCCGTCAAGTAGCGCCGCGTGTGCTCGCTGACAGCCTGTTGATGTCCTTGTGCGAAACGACAAAAAACACAAAGACAGAGATTCCACCCACCCCCCACCCCCCACCCCCCACCCCCGTGTAGCCTTTAGCAGACTGTTGGCGGCAAGCGCTGTTCGTGAGCACCTGGTGGAGGCCCAGGACCGGTCCAGATAATCGTCACCGGTGTTGGTCGTGAGCGGGAATCGAACTCGGCTCTCTGCCGGGTTTGTGGCGAGAGTGTGGCACTAACCGCTGCGCCACCGCTCCCCGCACACACGCGTTCAGACACGTTCACACACACGCGTTCACACACGTTCACACACACACACGTTCACACACACACACGCGTTCACACACACGTTCACATACACACGCATTCACACACACGTTCACACACACACACACACGTTCACACACACGTTCACATACACACGCATTCACACACACGTTCACACACACACACGTTCACACACACACACACGTTCACACACACACACACGTTCACACACACACACGTTCACACACACACACGTTCACACACACACACGTTCACACACACGTTCACACACACACACGTTCACACACACACACGTTCACACACACGTTCACACACACACACGTTCACACACACGCATTCACACACACGCGCGTTCACACACACGTTCACACACACGTCCACACACACACACGTTCACACACACACGCATACACACACACACGCGTTCACACACACGCGGGCGTGCTCCCACACCGTCTTCTTCAGACCTGTGCCCTAGAAATCCGTTATCCGCCGGGTTTGTAGCGAAGTGCGCTAACCGCTTGCACACACCCACAAAGACAAAGACACCCCGTATAGCTGTTCGCGAGCAGCGCCTATAAAGGCCGGCACGGCACACGGGGTGGGGGGGGGGGTAGGTGACCAGCCCCAAGCCCGGTCGCCTTTGTCTCCCGAGTGGCGATGTTTACACATGGCACCAGGTACTCATTTGAGGCTGAGTAGACCTCGAGGAGGCCCACAACCGGCTTAGATAATCGTCACCGGTGTTGGCCGTGAGCAGGAATCGAACCCCACGCACACGCTCACACACACGAACACACACGCGTGAACACACGAACACACACGCGTGAACACACGAACACACACGCGTGTACACACGAACTCACACGCGTGTACACACGAACACACACGCGCATTCACACACACGCGTGTACACACACGCTCACACACGTACACGCTCACACACATACACACACACACGTGTGTGTGTGTACACGCGCTGCCTCTATTCTTAGCTGCTCTCGAACTCGTGACTCAGCAGTGAGCGATGGTTGAAATAAAAAATAAACAGAGAGACGTTCTCTCCGAAGTCTTTTCACGGACGCCCCCTTCTCTCCGCTCGCCCAAACATTACAGAAACACTCTAATCACCGAACGTTTCGTTTAAGTTTTGGAATTCACATATCCGTGCTTTTTTTTAATCCGGGCCACCACCGCCCCGGGACACCCTTCAATTTTATCTTTTGTTTTATTTTTGTACAAATCTCTTATATATATTTTTTAAATTTGCATTTAAAAGGTCGAAATCCATCGAAGGTGGAACGTCTCGTTGCGGTCATGCCGAGCTCTATCCGCTGCTGTAGCAGCGGCTGGGAGCTGGGCGCTCCAGCCCAGACGTGGGTCAGCGGCAGCAGCGGCAGCGGCAGCGGGAGGATTTTCCACTTTTGTTTTTTTGTGCCGGAGCAGTCAAAATGTTCGAAGTCGACGGTATAAACGTGAACGCTTTCACTGCGCTCGGGAATTCCTGGCGTCCCCCTCGCCCCGCTCTGCGTTCTGGCTGCCCGCACCACCCCTGAACTCTGACCCTGGACGCGTCTGGCATTCCTGTTCACTGCAGGACCAGAAACGGGACAAGACCTGGACATCTCCAACATAGACACCTCCATTCTCGAGCAGTACATCAACGAAAACGAAGACCTGTGAGTATCGCGTGCTTTTTGCATTTCTCTAATCACGTCCACGGGAACGTGGAATTTCCGCCGCTGGCTTTGGACCACCGTTTGAAACGGACGACGTTTTTCCTTTGGGGGGGGGGCTTTTTTGACGAACGCTTCCACATCTCCGTCGCCGTGAGTCGGAGCGCTCGGTCTGGCGGTGGGAAGAAGGTCGTGCGTTCAAGTTCGGGGTCGTGGGGGTCGAATGAGCTCATCGTCGTCATCAATTGTCGTGACCCCTACAGGATCGATCAAATCGGTATTCCGAGGAGGGGGGTGGGGGGTAATTTGCCTTTGCTATCCTGGTGCTCAGACCACGTGGTTTGTCTGTTGAGCTGCACACATCATCACCACTACCAAAAAAGATAACAAAGATCCCCCGTATAGCCTTAACAGACTGTAGGGGCAAGCGCTATTAGCGAGCACCTATGAAGGCCGGAACGGTACAACGAGGGGGTGGGTGGCCAGCACCACGCCCGACCGCCTTTGTCTCCCTAGTGGCAATGTTTACACACCGCACCAGCTACTCATTTGAGGCTGAGTCGACCTAGGGGAGGCCCGGGACCGGTTCAGAATAATCGTCACCGGGTGTTGGCCGTGAGCGGGAATCGAACCCGGGTGGTGGCCGGGTCACGACGGCTCCCCACGACTGCGCCGGCGGAGACGAGTTGACGACCACCGGTGGGAGGAAGCGGTGGGGGCGACGGCGAAACTTGACGGCGCCAAATGACGATGACGTTGCGGTGCCGACGCTGCGCCTGACGACGTCGCCCCTGTCAGCACGGGGACGGAAACCAGGGCCCTTCGGGGCCCCCGCGGCGGGCCTCGGGGGCCCCACCGCGCGGCCTCTGTCGTGCCGTCCGGCGCGGGCGGCAAGGCGCCGGCAAGTTGACCGGCTCGCCGCGAGGGTTGTGGCCAAATGCCGCTCATTTTGTCTCTTGATGCGGTATCGGCGCCGGTACGAGAAACTGAAGAATAATCCAGAACACCCCGCCCCGATGTACAGTTTAAGGTTTTATTTTTTTTTTAAAAAAAAACGTCATCTTAAGATTGCGCGATGTTCCGCACACACACACAAAAAAAAAAACAGCTGCTCTACAGAGCCTCTCTCCACATTCTGCGGCTTAATTCTCGCCACCCCCCCCCCACCCCGCCCGCGAAAATATAAATCCCATTTTTCCGCACCGCGGCGACGTTTCCCACCATTGGGAGCAAGCGGCGGAGCGTCCGCCCAGGGGCCCGGCCCGGCCTTTATGACCGCCGCCAGCAGCAGCTGCTGCTGCTGCTGCTGCCCGCGAGACGGCTTTTCGTGCGAGACTGTCAGCGGCAAGTGCCGCGCTCGACCTCGGCAATTTGAGGGCTTCCTGAGCCCCCCTGCGTCGCTGCGGTGCCAAGGGGCACCCCGCCAGCTCTGCGCCTCCCGAGGAGTCACTGCAAGAGCGCGAACCTCCCCCCGCCCCCCGCCCCCCCCCGCCCCCCAAACACCGGCTTAAACCCGTCCAGTTTGGGCTTTGTGAGTGTGAAGTCTTGGACTGCCCCCCCCCCCGCCCCTAGCCGTGACCCTAATTACACCAGCCTCGACCTGACACCGAACCCGCATTACCATCGACCGAGCGTGGAGTCTTCGCCCGAATTAACGTGGGACTAACTGCACCAGCTTCCCAACCACGGCCCGACACCCGACCATAATTATAATGACCATCGAATTATCCCTGGACCCTTATGCTGAGTAGACGAGCCATCATTACACGAGCAGGCGACCCTCGCCTAACCCGAATTACACTAACCCAGAAAATACCGGTAACACGACTACACCCGCAGAGAATACGGTAATGAGACTACACCCACAGAGAATACGGTAATGAGACTACACCCATAGAGAATACGGTAATGAGACTCCACCCAGAGAATACGGTAATGAGACTACACCCACAGAGAATACGGTAATGAGACGACATCCACAGAGAATACGGTAATGAGACGACACCCACAGAAAATACGGTAATGAGACTACACCCACAGAGAATACGGTAATGAGACTACACCCAGAGTGAATACGGTAATGAGACTACACCCAGAGTGAATACGGTAATGAGACTAGACCCGGAGAGGCTAATCGGTGGTGGCGGCGCCGTTTGTGCTCACTTTGCTCTGCCCCGCAGCGGCGTGGCGGAGCTGCCGGCCGGCGCGTCGCACGCCCCCTGCCCGACCCCGGGCCACGCCGGCCACGCCGGCCACGCTGGCGGTGCCGGTGCCGCCACCGCCCCGGCCGGGGCCGCCCCACGCCACGGGGCCCTCGCCGCGGGGGCCTCGCCTCCGGCCGACGGGCTCGCGGCCCGCGGCCTGTGCGGACCTCTCGCTCCGCAGCTGCAGCAGCTGCAGCAGCAGCAGGAGCAGCAGCAGCAGCAGCAGCCTCCGCTACGGCTACTGCCGCCCGGCACCAACAGCAGCCTCCTGGGCCACGGGGAGCTGCGCCGGTTGCACAGCGCCCCCGCCCAGCGCACCGCGCCGTACCGGCCCGGGTGAGCCTCAGGGGGGCACCGTCGCCGGCCAGGGTTCTCAGGCGTAGGGAGTCGATGGCCTCACCTCGCTCGCCGCCTGCTCCGTCTGCGTGGGACAGAGCGTTGTCCAATCGCGTCCGGGCGCTCCGGTTTCCTCCCACGTGTAGACACTCATTAATTGGCCGATAGCGGCTGCATTTGTAGAGGATTGCAGAGCTTGGGGGCTGGTGGGGGGGGGGTTCGGAATTTGTCGCCAGCTCATCGGGTGGCTGCCGCTGCCTTCGCCGCTCGTCTGCGGGCGCGAGAGCGGGGAGCGAACGCTGCGCGGCATCGGCGGCGCGTCACAGGTTTCACAAATTGTCGATTTGTGTTGTTGTGCCGCCTGCTGTCTACCGAAGGAGGTTGTAGGCTTCTTTGCAATCGCTGCGTGCTCCCGGCTAAAAGTTGACGCGCGGCCTTCGCGACGGCTAAACGCCGCCCAGACGCGGAGCACGTTTTCACAATCGTGGCGACCGCCGCCTGATGATGCTGGCTGAGAGTACCGGCACCGCTCTCCTGGCGGCGCTGACGAGGCGGCGATGGCTCGGCCGCGTCTATACGCCACGGACGACGACTTGGTTCCTCGGCCGCTGCGAGTCGGGCGCTCGTCGTCCCTTGCCTCCGTGACGGTGCGTGGCCGCGCTGTCGTTCCCGACAGGAATCTCCCGGAGTCGCCGCCGGACTCCAGCTCGGAGGCCTTCTCTCCGCAGCAGATGGACGGTGAGTCGGCGGCGCTCCCTCGTCTTTACCCGCCGTTTTGATAAAAAGGACCAACGGCCGACGCAAGCGGAGAATAATTCACCGCGGTTCCTGAGCACGGGCGCCAAGGGTCCACCGGGGCGTTAAGCGGGTGGGCAACAGACGGCACCATCAAAATCGACCGAGGAGCTCGGGGGGAAGAGACGATGGTGATGATTTTGGGAAGGAATTCCCAAGTGGAGCAGTGAAAGGGAGGAAGTGGACAGATCAGGGTTTGCGACCTGCAGTGTGGGGGAATCGGTGAGCCAAATTTACGGGAACGGCAACCACGGTGGTAGCCTAGGAAGAGATATCGGAAGGCGACTGACCACCGCTGGCAAGCGACCAAATGAGTGGAGTGATTCGGTGGGTCCTGGCTCGTGAATCAAAGAGTTCTGGATATCCTCCTCCTCCCCCTCTTCCTCCACCTCCTTTGCCTCCTCTTCACCACCCCCCCCCCCCACCTTCCGCACCTCCCACGTCTCCTCTCACCCCCCACGTCTCCTCTCACCCACATCTCCTCTCACCCGCCACGTTTCCCCGCCCGTCGTTGTTGTTGTTGCCTCCCTGCAGAAACGCGACTCCAGCACCTGACGCCGGACAGCTTCTGCCAAATGTCGAGCCCCCTGGCTCACCCCCACGTGCACCTGCAGCAGGGAACGCACCCACACGCACACGTCCACGCGCACCTGCGCCAGCAGCAGCATCAGCAGCAGCAGCATCTCCATCATCAGCCTCAGCCACCGCAGCAACCGCAGCAGCAGCCTCAGCAGCAGCCGCAGCAGCAGCCGCAGCAGCAGCCGCAGCAGCAGCAACCGCAATACTCCCTCCCGCCCCAAGTCCACATCTCACCGCACACACAGATCACGCACCACCCTCACCACATGATGCCGCATCGGACCGCCGCGCCGGCCATGGCGATGTCTCTCAACGTGCAGCAGCAGCAGTCGCACGCGGCAAGCCCGGCCGCTTACTACGGCCGGGAGGCGCCATACGGGCCTCCGGCTTACCCGCCGGCGTCTCAGGGGCCCGGGTGCAACCCTGCACTGGACGTCAACCATCAGCAGCAGCAGCAGCAGCAGTCGCATGTCCTGCAGCAGCTGTTGCAGCCGAATGCTGAGTGAGTGTAACGATCCGCTGCTGGATGAAGGCCTCCACCCCTCCGCCCAACGTTTTACGGGCGAACCCATTCCCCGGTTGAACGTTCGTATTGACGACGATATTTACAATAGTTATTGTAATAAATCCCATTTCGCCACACGGCCGGCAGCAGCTGTCGGGGGTTAAATTTACGAGCGTATTTGTGAGCCGGCCATGTTCAGCCCTGGTCTTGCCTCCCAATTGTAGACACCGACGTTCCCATGAACCAGTTCCTGGTTTTCTCAGGCGCAGGTCCCTCGTAGCAAGACGACAAGAGGTCGTTACAACATCACACCTGTCAACCACTTATCAGTGCCGACGTTACTACGGACCAATTCAGACCTCATTGGTCACCCCGTGCGCTTATAAATCTCAAGGTTCATCCTACAAAGTCCCATCACAAGGGAGAAACACAAATCGACAGGCGCATTTTTTGCCCATGTTGAAACGGCTGTACACCGTGTGGGACCTGAACACTCAATTTCCCTGTACGAGAATACGGAGTTGTAAACCGCATGGGGCTTGACAGCTGTGCGACATCGATCGCGACCCCACATTGCAGACGGGCGGAGCCGATGCGTTTGTGTCGACGCCCCCCCCCCCCCCCCCCCGGCACTGTCCGACGGTTCGCCAAGCGGCGGTGAGGCCAGCGGTCAGCGCCACGAAGCCGCCCATGACCCCCCCCCCCTCCAAGTTCGATTCCCGCTCACGGCCAACGCCGGTGACGATTGTCTGAAGGGGTCACGGGCACCCTCGAAAGTCGACTCAGCCTCACGTGAGCACCCGGGTGCGGTGCGCGCTAAACGTCGCCACTTGGGAAGACAAAGGCGGCCGGGCGCGGTGCCGGTCACACTCGTGCGACCGTGCCGGCCTTCATGGGCGCTGCTCGCTGACGGCGCTTGCCCCCGACAGGCGGCTGAGGCTATGCGGGGGACCTTTGTCTTTGCAGTCCGATGGTCCACCAGGCGAAGAAGAGGAAGTACTCGGACTCTCCCACGAGCACGCTCACGGGGCACATGCTGAGCAGCCCCAACCCCATAAAGCAGGAGCCAGGTGAGCCGCAAGCACGGGGGACCGCGGCGAACTTGAGCTAGGTGAGCCGCACGCACGGGGGACCGCGGCGAACTTGAGCTAGGTGAGCCGCACGCACGGGGGACCGCGGCGAACTTGAGCCAGGTGAGCCGCACGCACGGGGGACCGCGGCGAACTTGAGCCAGGTGAGCAGCACACACGAGGGACCGTGGCGAACTTGAGCCAGGTGAGCCGCTCGCACGAGGGACCGTGGCGAACTTGAGCCAGGTGAGTCGCTCGCACGGGGGGCCGCGGCGAACTTGAGGCAGGTGAGCCACTCGCACGGGGGACCGCGGCGAACTTGAGGCAGGTGAGCCACTTGCACGGGGGACCGCGGCGAACGCGAGAGACGATGGGAACAGCGCCGCCGCCGCTTCCTTCCTCCTGCCAGATTCCGATCGATCCTGAGATCTTCAAGGACCGCAATTTAATTCTCATTGTCATCGTCGCCGTCGTCATCACCGCAATCTCTACCACTGTCTGGCTTTAGGTCTACTTTTCCCCTTGGCCGCCTACCTCTGGGTGCCACTCCAACGCCCGTCCTCTGGAATCTGCGGTGTAAAATGTTTCAGCCTTCAGATGTCTGCCCGATGTACAGGAATACTTCGCACTTTCGTCTGGTTAGGGACCGGAGCATGGACGAATGTCAAAGCAGGGCCTTGATTTAGCCCTGCAAGATTTATTTTGGTCCATTATGAATATATGAAAGCACAAAAACTCAGTATTTTACGGTAATCACGAAAACAAGCGTACGATATAAATACCGTACACGTGTTTTATAATCACGAACATAACGATGGACACCGTAGTATTATACTATTACCACGAGAACGACGATGCATCGTTTACAGTGTAATCACAGAAGTAAGTGCAGTATTAATAATATCTGAATAACCACACACACAAGGGATGCTCGCCGAACGACTTCTATTCAAAGACCGAACGAGGGAGACGGCGCGCGGCGGGAATGCCGCGGGAAGGTTAGGGATGAAGTCGCGCGAAAGAGGAAAAGCCGCGGGGGCGAAATTTTTGAAACGTGGTCGTGGTTGAAAACGTCCGAAAGAGCGAAACGCGGCGAAGGTCCCCCAGGGTGTCGCTTGAGCCACAGTGGCGGCGGCAGCGGCGGGGAGGAGGGCAGCTGCCGCGGGAACGGTTGTCCTGCTCCTCTGTTCTAAGTGACTGCTTGTCTCGCCTCTCCTTCCTTCTCAGCCTCTTTGACTGCTCACCTCTTTGTCTGTGTGCAGGTAAGCCGTTGCCTTCTGATGCAACTTTCCATTTTCCTTTTGAAAAACAAAAAACACGTTCATTTAACTTTCTCAACCCCCGTCGCCCCCATCGCCCCCGTCGCCCCCGCGCGCTCCTCTCCCCGGAGAGTCTCAGGAGGGTCCTGACACATGGAGACGTTTGGCTAACGTCTTGTTAAATAGAGAGGGGTTTGGCTTCGAGTGACAGAAGCGGAGAAACCGGGGAAAACGCAGCACGGCGCTACGTTACGAGGAGGGGGTGAGGGGTGGCACTCTCGAAACTCCACACAGATAGATTCTGTATCATGATGGTGGTGATGGCGACGATCTCTTTGGCCACTTCACGGTCCATCGCCTGTTATACCCAGGCATTCTCCCTGCGTGAATGTCTGTGCCTGTGTGTGTACGTGTGTGGGGAGCGGTGGTGTAGCGGTTAGCGCGCTGCGCTACGGACCCGGCCATCACCCGAGTTCCATTCCCGCTCACGGCCAACACCGTTGACGATTATCTGAACCGGTCGTAGGCCTCCCCAAGGTCGACTCAGCCCTAAATGAGTACCCGGTGCGCTGCGTGTAAAACATCGACACTGGGGGAGAGACAAGGGCGCCCTCACCACCTCGTCGTGCGTGCACCGTGCCCGGCCTTCAAAGTCGCTGCTCGCTCACGGCACTTGCCCCCGATGGCCCGCGTGAGCCTCACATCAGCAGCACCTTTGCCTGTGTGTGTGTGTGTGTGTCGCTCGCGCGCGGCGCAGGGATGATCGGCGACTGCGGCAGCGACGTCTACAGCTACGACTGCGACAGCCTCAACGGCTCCTACCTGGACCCCAGCTACCAGTGCCTCAAGTGGCAGCCATTCCAGCAGAACAAGTGGTGCTCGCTGCTCGACGGCTCCTGCAAGGAGCTGTGAGCCTCCACTCCTCCCCCCGCACGATCCTTGCGTCCCCCTTCCCGTCGGGGAGTCCCACCGGGCGTCCGCTCCTGGGGCTCCATGCTCCTGGGGCGCCATGCTCCTGGGGCGCCATGCTCCTGTCCGGGCCGTTTTGCGTTCGTTTTTTTTACACCGCCCTGAATCACGTCCTGAGATCCGACGTCTCGTGAGCAAGGGTCGTCCACGGGGCGTGGCGATCAGTTTCAGTTGATTTTTTTCAGTTTATTTATTTTGGTATAGCCCTGTGAGGCATTCGGCTCTTGAATCGGGGGCAACCACAACAAACAAAAAAACAAAAACACGAACAAGAAAAACATCTTAAAGTGACTATGTGACTGTGCAAACAGAAATCCATGAAAAATAACAGCAAAATTTTCCTGAAAAAAGCACCGTACACCAACGCTGTGTGCAAAAAATCCCAGTGGGATGCAAATCAAACAACAACAACAACATATTCTTAGTTTTTTCGGTAAAGTCACGTTGAAGAGAAACAACAAAAGAATAAAATATATATAGAACAATAAAAAATTCTCACGACGTTTCGACCATAACTCAAACGGTCATCTTCAAGTGTGTTGGTTTGCATAAATTTATTTTTAAACGGCGCATTTATTTATTTATAAAAAAAACGTTAGCGCCACGCGCAGCGATTTGGCAGTTTACCCAGGACTAGTCCATCTATATTCTGAAAAGAGGAGGGGGGAGACGAAATTTTTTATAATGTATGCTGTCTGAAAGCCACTGTAAGCGTGAACAATCAATTAAGAACTGAAATGGTTTATCAAATCACACCTGAAGATGACCGTTTGAGTTATGGTCGAAACGTTGTGAGAATTTTTTATTGTTTTATATATATTTTATTATTTTGTTGTTTCTCTTCAACGTGACTTTACCGAAAAAACTAAGAATATGAATTACTGCAGTCACGAAAGCTTTAAATCAAAACAACAACAACCACAAGAAAACTTAGATTGAGGCCATCAGTCTAACTCCGTACTACAACAAAACAAACATGTCCAAACCAAAAAACTTTTCGAAATCCCCAAAAATAAAGCCATAATTGCAACGTAAGAGTGATCACAGAGACTGTGACCGAATTTTTACAATAAACTACATAAATAACATGTAACACCAAATCCTAGAGCCATTTCTGGCTGCATGAGTCACTCCACAACAACAGAGGCATCAGTCGGAGTATCAAATTTTTCAATGCACCTTTAAGATCAGCACGCTAAATCAAAATACAGATGATACTTTGCAGCGTCATCCGGAGCGAAACATTTTATTTTACGCCAATGAATAGCGGATTGGATACGCGCGTTGCGACACGGCGCGTACAAGCACACGAACACAACGAGCGCCCCCCCCCCCCCCCGTGTAGCCCTCACCAGACCGATGGGGGCACGTGCTGCTAGCGAGTGGCACCTATGAAGGACGGCACGGCCCACGAGGGGCCGGTGGGCGGTGGCGCTACCCGCGGGGTAAAGCGAGCGCGGCGATGATTGCGTGAAAAATAAATCAACAAGGCATCACGGGGGTCCTCGCGGGGCGAGCGCGGTGCGCCAGGAGCCCCACGTCACGCTCTGCCGTGGGTGTCGGTGACCCCTGCCCCCCCCCCACCCCCCCCCCCCCCCCCCCGCGCCAGGCTGATGCCCACGTACCGCGTGGACGCCGACAAGGGCTTCAACTTCTCGGTGCCGGACGACGCGTTCGTGTGCCAGAAGAAGAACCACTTCCAGGTGACGGTGCACGTGGGCATGCTGGGGCTGCCGCGCTTCGTCAAAGCGCCCGACGGCACCAAGCCCGTCGACTGCTTCTACATCAAGCTCTACGGGGTCAAGGTGGGCACGGCGGGTTAAGTGGGGGGTCGGGGTTAGGTGGGGGGTCGGGGTTAAGTGGGGGGTCGGGGTTAAGTGGGGGGTCGGGGTCGGGGTTAAGTGGGGGTCGACGTAGGGTTATGTGGGGGTCGAGACAGGGTTAAGTGGAGGGTCGAGGTGGGGTTAAGTGGGGGTCGACGTGGGGTTAAGTGGAGGGTCGGGGTCAGGGTTATGTGGGGGTCGAGACGGGGTTAGGTGGGGGTCGAGGTGGGGTTATGTGGGGGTCGACGTGGGGTTAAGTGGGGGTCGAGGTGGGGTTAAGTGGGGGTCGAGGTGGGGTTAAGTCGTGGTCAAGGTGAGGTTAAGTGGGGGTCGAGGTGGGGTTAAGTGGGGGTCGACGTGGGGTTAAGTGGGGGTCGATGTGGGGTTAAGTGGGGGTCGAGGTGGAGTTAAGTGGGGGTCAAGGTGGGGTTAAGTGGGGGTCGAGGAGGAGGCTGTGGGATTCTAGGTGGGGTCTGGGTGGGATGAAGGTGGGGGTCAGGTTAGGTTGGAATTCCATGAGGTCAGAGTGGAGTGTGGGTGGGGTTCGTGGGGCCAAAGTGGGGTCCATAGGTTCAAGGTGCTGCAGGACATTATTGTAAAACTGCTTGTTCACTCAGAAAAGCGTCGTTGAGTCTTAAGGCTCTTTCCCAAGAGGGTCCTGCCAAATGTTTTCTGGGTCTGTCTGTGCTACAGATGGAGGCCACCAACCAGAGCATCAACATCGAGCAGTCACAGTCCGATCGCAGTAAACGGCCCTTCCACCCAGTCCGGTGAGGACCCGCACTCGCCAGTATGCACACTCACCAATACACAAAGACAAAGATCCCCCGTATAGCCTTAGCAGACTGTAGGGGCAAGTGCTGTTAGCGAGCACCTCTGAAGGCCGGAACGGCACACGAGGGGGTGGGTGGCCAGCACCACGCCCGACTGCCTTTGTCTCCCCAGTTAGCCTGATTCCCCTTCACCTGTAGACATTCTGTTACCCATTTACCCCATGCCTGGATGCTGACTTGCCACGTGTGTGCGCGCGTGTGCGTGTGCGTGCGTGTGTCTCGTGACCCCGCCGTGACCCCCAGGGTGGACCTCCCGGCGGAGCAGATGACGAAGGTGACGGTGGGGAGGCTCCACTTCAGCGAGACGACGTCCAACAACATGCGGAAGAAGGGCAAGCCCAACCCGGACCAGCGGTGAGGCCCAGGGCCTGCTGTGCGGTGTCTGATGGGTGTGGTGTCTGGTGTGTGTGTGTGCGTGATGGGTGTGGTGTGTGTGATGGGTGTGGTGTGTGTGTGTGATGGGTGTGGTGTGTGTGTGATGGGTGTGGTGTGTGTGATGGGTGTGGTGTGTGATGGGTGTGGTGTGTGTGTGATGGGTGTGGTGTGTGTGTGATGTGTGTGGTGTGTGTGGGTGATGGGTGTAGTGTGTGTGTGTGATGGGTGTGGTGTGTGTATGTGATGGGTGTGGTGTGTGTGATGGGTGTGGTGTGTGTGTGTGATGGGTGTGGTGTGTGTGTGATGTGTGTGGTGTGTGTGTGTGTGATGGGTGTAGTGTGTGTGTGTGATGGGTGTGGTGTGTGTATGTGATGGGTGTGGTGTGTGTGTGTGATGGGTGTGGTGTGTGTATGTGATGGGTGTGGTGTGTGTATGTGATGGGTGTGGTGTGTGTGTGTGATGGGTATGGCGTGTGCATGATGTGTGTGAGTGGCGTGTGTGTGTGTTGATTGTGTATAGGGAACGGTAGTGTAGTGGTTAGTGCGCTGCACCAGTGACGATTATTCAAACCGGTCCTCGGCCTCCCCTAGGTCGACTCAGCCTCAAATGAGTACCTGGTGCAGTGTGTAAACATCGCCAATGGGGAGACAAAGGCGGCCGGGCGTGGTAGCTGGCCACCCACCCCCTCGTGTACCGTGCCGGCCTTCACCGGTGCTCGCTAACAGCACTTGCCCCAACGGTCTGTTAAGGCTATACGGGGGATCTTTGTCTGTGTATGTATGGTGAGTGTGGGTCCAGCTATTGCAACAGCTACTGCTGCCCCTGCTACTAAGAGTGCTGCGTTGAGCTCTTGCCCTCCTCTCACCCCGGTGTGTAACGAGCAGCTACTTCCTGTTGGTGGTGGCGCTGCATGCTCACTCGCAGGGACAGGGCCACATGCTCGCCGCACAGGCCTCCGAGAGGATCATCGTGCGGGTGAGTGGCCCCCTTGGCTACAGCTCCTCCACACGGTCACACTGAGACTCACCACCCCTCAGCTACAGCTCCTCCACACGGCCACGCTGAGACTCACCACCCCTCAGCTACAGCTCCTCCACACGGCCATGCTGAGACTCAAACACCCCACAGCTACAGCTCCTCCACACGGCCACGCTGAGACTCACCACCCCTCAGCTACAGCTCCTCCACACGGTCACACTGAGACTCACCACCCCTCAGCTACAGCTCCTCCACACGGCCACGCTGAGACTCACCACCCCTCAGCTACAGCTCCTCCACACGGCCACGCTGAGACTCAAACACCCCTCAGCTACAGCTCCTCCACACGGCCACGCTGAGACTCACCACCCCTCGGCTACAGCTCCTCCACACGGCCACGCTGAGACTCTCCATCCCTCAGCATCAGCTCCTCCACACGGCCACGCTGAGACTCACCACCCCTCAGCTACAGCTCCTCCACACGGCCACGCTGAGACTCACCACCCCTCAGCTACAGCTCCTCCACGCGGCCACGCTGAGACTCACCTCCCCTCAGCTACAGCTCCTTCACACGGCCACGCTCGAGACAGGCGGCACTTATCCCATTGTAACGGACTGCGGCCCGCGTGCCCCCTCGGCCAGGCGTCGAACCCGGGCCAGTTCGAGAACGACTCGGAGGTGCTGTGGCAGCGCGGTCCGCAGGGCGACACGGTGTTCCACCACGGCCGCGTGGGCGTGAATACGGAGCGGCCTGACGAGGCCCTCACCGTGCACGGCAACATCAAGGTGGCCGGCTCCATCCTGCAGCCGTCGGACGCACGCGCCAAGGAGCACATCCGCGACGTACGTACCGCACCCACGCACTCTGTGTCTGTGTGTCACTGTGTGTGCGTGTGTCACCGGGGAGCGGTAGCGTAGCGGTTAGCGCGCTGCGAACCCGGCGAGCCGAGTTTGATTCTAGCCAACACCGGTGACGATTATGTGAACCGGTCCTGGGTCACCCCTAGGTCGACTCAGCCTCATATGAGTACCTGGTGCGGTGCGTAAGCATCGCCACCGGGGAGACAAAGGCGGCCGGGCGTGGTGCTGGCCACCCACCCCCTCGTGTGCTGTGCCGGCCTTTATAGGTGCTACTCACTAACAGCACTTGCCCCAACAGTCTGTGAAGGCTACACGGGGGATCTTTGTTTTGCGTGTGTGTTACCGTGTCTTACTGTGTCTGCATGTGTTGTGTATGTTACTGTGTGTCTGTGTGCGTGTTACTATTCGTGTTATTGTCTGTTACTGTCTTTGTTACTGTGAAAGGTCCTGGCAAGGATAGTTCAACATCGCCTTGCCAGGCACGCTGAGGAGAGGCTTACGGAGCCCCAATGCGGTTTCAGGAAAGGGCGGTCCTGCACAGATGCCATATTTTCTGTCCGTCTGCTACAGCAGAGGTGTAGGGAATTCCAACATGACCTACATCTCTGCTTTATTGACCTGGTCAAGTGCTATGATACCATCAGTAGGCCTGGGCTCTGGGTTGTTCTTCGTGCAGTGTCACCGTCCTTGGTGTCTCTGGCTGTGTCTCTGCGTGTCCCACTTCTGTGTCCGTGTCCCTGTGCAGGTGGATACCACGGAGCAGCTCAAGCGGATATCGCGGATGCGTCTCGTCCACTTCCAGTACAAGCCCCAGTTTGCGGAGACGGTCGGCGTGGAGGTGTCACCGCAGACCGGTGACTCTCACTCGCTCGCTCACTCGCTTACTTGCTCACTCACTCACTCACCCACTGGCTCCCTCAGTCATGAGGAATTAGATCACTCGCTCGCTCACTCCCTCACCCACTCGCTCCCTGACTCATGAGGAATTCATTCACTCGCTCGCTCACTCTCTCACCCACTTGCTCCCTCACTCATGAGGAACTCACTCACTCGATTGCTCGCTCACTCACTCGCTCTCTCGTTCGCTCACTCCCTCACTCCCTCACCCACTTGCTCGCTCACTCATGAGGAACTCACTCATTCGCTTACTCACTTACTCCCTCACTCACTCGCTCCCTCGCTCCCTCACTCATGAGGAATTAACTCATGAGCAATTCAATCATTTGCTCTCTCCCTCATGTGAAGCTCACTCACTCACTCACTTTGCCGTTCTCACTCACTCACTCGCCCATGTCGAGTGCACAGTGGTCCCTCAGAGGTCAAAGACGCACCACTGAGAGCCTGGGTTCCACTCCGGGTCTCAGCCGCTGCCTGTGTTTAAATCAGGTTCTCAAGTGTAGCGAGACCCATCACCATGCACAGATGACCATAGGCTCACATAGACTGAGCTGTGATTAAACAGGGTTCTGCATTTCTTGTGTTCATCTCTAAACCTGATGCCAATAGCACACTTCATTACTTAATTAAGGGGAGGGGCAGGCCGGGAGACGGGTGAGTGGCAGGTAGTCCAGCTTGGTGACAAGTTGACAGGTGGGTTGAGAAGCAAAACATTAATATAAACAAGATACTGTGCTAGAGCCTATCTTTAATATATATTAAAAAAAAATTTACGTAAAATATTTCACAAGGTGTCAATGTTAAAACTCTCACAGCAAGCGAACGGGGTATGATGGTGCACGACGCAGTGTGCGTGACGATGTGTGCCGCTATCGTGAGGCCCATAAGCACAGGACATGTGGGTTACCGTTGTTCACTAACAGTTCATTTCTCTCCGCACAATCCAGGCGTGATCGCCCAGGAGATTCAAAGAATCATCCCGGAAGCCGTGAAGGAGACCGGAGACATGGTCTGCAACAATGGAGAGAGGATTGAAAACCTCTTGGTGGTCAACCAGGTGGGTGACGATAAGCTAGGTCAGCGGCAGGCTTTGGTGACAGGCCTCCGTGGTAGGCCTTGGTGGAAGACTGTGATGGTAGGCCTTGGTAGTAGGCCTTGGTGGGAGGCTGTGATGGTAGGTGGCAGGTTTGGTGGCAGGCTGTGGTGGTAGGCCTCGGTGGGAGGCGTTGGTGGGAGGCTGTGATGGTAGGTGGCAGTTTTGGTGGCATGCTGCGGTGGTAGGCCCTGGCGGTAGGCCTCGGTGAGAGGCTGTGATGGTAGGTGGCAGGTTTGGTGGCAGGCTTTGATGGTAGGCCTTGGTGGTAGGGTTTGATGGCAGGCCCCGGTGGCAAGTCTATCGCGCCTTGCTGGGGGACAGTGGCAGACAAGTTTGTGGCAAGTCGGCAGGTAGATAGGTCAGTAGCAGGCGTGTTTGTGACAGATATACAATTCAGGCTGTAGGTGGCAGGCTGGGCAGGTGGGTTGGTGGCAGGTAGACAGGTCGGTCAATTAACCTGCTAATGACGGATTTGTGGCAGTAACCGTGATTCCGTGGCAGCCTGTCCATCCATCTGCTGCTTTGTCTGTCTGTCCGTCCGTCCGTCTGGCTGATGGTGATTGTGTGTCTGGTGTGTGGTGTGGCAGGACCGGCTGTTCATGGAGAACGTGGGAGCCGTGAAGGAGCTGTGCAAGCTCACGGACAACCTGGAGACGCGCATCGACGAGCTGGAGCGCTGGAGCAAGAAGCTGCACCTGAAGCGGCTCGACAGCATCAAGTCCAGTGTGAGCGCAGGAACCGTGAGGTCAGAGAGGGTGATGCAGGTCACACACGCGCACGCACGTGTATATATATACACACACACACGCACGTTTGAACGCATGTGTGTGTATGCATGCACTCGCACACGCACACATGCACGTACACATCGCCGCGACTGATGGTGATGCCCCTTCTACTCATCCTGCTCATGATAATGAAGCTGCTGCCGCTGATGTTGATGCTGATTATGATGCTGATGGTGGTGCTGCTGATTATGCTGCTGCCACCCATGATGATGCTCCAATTGGTGCTGCCGCTGATGATGCTGCTGATGATGCTGCTACAGCTATTGCTGCTACTGGCAGTGTTGCTGCTGCTGCCACTGCTGTTGCCACTTCTGCTACTGATGCTACTGCTGATGCTGCTACTCTTGCTGCTGCCACTGATGCTGCTGCCACCATCGACGATGATGATGGTACTCTTTGGTTCTATTCGGTAAAGTCACGTAGGTAAAAATAAAATAACAAAAAATCACGACGTTTCGGCCACAACACAAGTGGCCTTCATCAGGTGAAGGGACTGGACTGTCCAGAGGACAGCGTTGGAGTGAAGGCAGCAAGCCCAGGTCGCGTCCTTTAAGCTTGTTGTCGATGCCGCGACAACAACTCCAACGCTGTCCTCTGGACAGTCCAGTCCCTTCACCTGATGAAGGCCACTTGTGTTGTGGCCGAAACGTCGTGATTTTTTGTTATTTTATTTTTACCTACGTGACTTTACCGAATAGAACCAAAGAGTATGGATCCTTGCAGTCACGAAAGCTTCAAATCTAGAGGTGATGATGGTGCTGGTGATTTATGCTGCTGCTACTGCTACTGCTGTCGTTGCATCTGCTACTGCTATTGCTACTCCTGCTACTGTTAC